ACATTCCAGGGGTGGTACAGTAGGGGACTACATGGGGAACTGAACAACACATACATTTCTCCCACCATGCACTGCTGTACGAGAGGGATAGTCCCACTAGAATAAACAGCTAAGTGGATTATCCCTCCGTGCAGCAGAACTTACATTTTACATTAAAATACATAACTTCTATAATATTCCCTTTATTTAAACGAATGGGTGTTCAGTAGATAGCTGGGGTCTGAGCGCACAGTTCGTGAGAATACTGCTCAGATCCCAGCCTAACTAACCAAACGCCGCACGAAACACACATTATTCTCAAATCACCTTTAAAGTACCGATTGGTATTACGAGAACAATCTACCAAATGCCCGGGGCTCCCGAACGGCCTGGAAGTCCAGCGGTGTTTACACCGTCGAGTAACCGATTTTAGTTCCAGGCACTCGACGACCAAACACCGCTGGGCTAACAAAGGAACCAAGATGGCTGACCGCCGCGTGGTCGGTAGCTGAACGACTGCCACCTAGGGAAGCCTTTAACTACACGACCTCCTGTGTGTTGTCGTCCATTCGGTAGTTTATTCATTTCACGAACAGTGTTGAAACTCACTGTTCGTTAAACTACAGTATGAATGCTCATTCGCCTGAAATGAAAATACAGCAATATGCTTGGTTCTCACAGCTTAACAAAGGGATATAAACATATTCCTATAGTGATAGTCTTAAGTGGCTAGTTTTGCCACAACCGTTTATAAACTATTGACATCCAGTTTAGCGAAGATTACCTTTTCTTCTGATAGTGTTACTTTGTTGATATGTTCCAAAAAAGTTGGGTGTCCTTTAAACAGGGGGGAATGGATGTTACTACTGCTTGCAGTGATGGTCTATAAATTTAGCCATGGGTTCCAATAGTCTGCCTTTGACCGAGATCAGTCTTCCTGTAGGGTTCTCCATATCTTTATGTACCTTTGGTACAGTTTAGAGGATTGGAATTTTCATATTTGGATTAATTAAAAATGCTGCAGTTTTGTCATCAATCCAACCTGCTGTGATGGCTCTGACAACTAATGATTCTAGTTTAATTAGAATGCTGTTGGTCGGATCATAAGTGATACATTTGTAAGTTTTAGTATCAGAGAGCTGATTGAGTATTTCGGTTTTGTACTTACTTTAGTCCTGTAGGACTATTGCTCCTTCTTTCTCTGCTGGGCGTATGATAATGTTGTTGTCTTATTTTAAATCTTTAAGAGCTTTTCTTTCTGCTGGAGAACAGTTATGTGGTATACAGCTTGAATGAGAGAATGTTTTTTCAGTGTCTGTTTTAATCAATTGAACGTATGTTTTAATTGAATGATGGGAAACTTTTGGGTTCCCAAGTATTTTTTAATTTGAAAGTGGATGGTTCTTTAGGGGTCCAATGTTCCTTTAACGTTTGTATGTTAAGTGTCCTTTCCATTTTGTAGATTTCAACATCCGTTTTAAATTAGTTGACCTGTTCCACTTTTTGTCTTTTGAACCATATAAGATCATTTCTATATCTCATAATTTCGTCTTATAATTTTAACTAGAGATGCACCGAACGGTTCGCAGGCGAATAGTTCCTGGTGAACATAGCGTGTTCGCTTTCACCACGGCGGGTGAACATATGCGCGGTTCGATCCGCCCCCTATTCGTTATCATTGAGTAAACTTTGACCCTGTACCTCACAGTCAGCAGACACATTCCAGCTAATCAGCAGCAGACCCTCCCTCCCAGACCCTCCCACCTCCTGGACAGCATCCATTTTACATTCATTCTCAAGCTGCATGCTTAGTGAGAGGAGGGAAAGTGTAACTGCTGTTGATTTGATAGGGAAATGGATAGCTAGGTTAGTGTATACAGTGTCCACTACAGTCCTGAAGGACTCATCTAATCTCTGCTGTAAGGACAGCACCCCAAAAAGCCCTTTTTAGGGCTAGAACATCAGTCTGCTTTTTTTTCTTTCTGTAATGTAATTGCAGTTGCCTGTCTGCCAGCCTGTGTGTCAGGCTCACAGTGGATACTGTGCCCACTTGCCCAGTGCCACCACTCACTCACTGGTGTCACAATAGCATGCATTTAAAAAATATATATTTTTTTCTCGCTATAACAGATTGAATAGCAGTTAGTTGTCTGCCAGCTTCTGTGTCAGGCTCACAGTGGATACTGTGCCCACTTGCCCAGTGCCACCACTCACTCACTGGTGTCACAATAGCTTGCATTTAAAAGAAAAAATTTTTTTCCACTATAATAGATTGAATAGCAGTTAGTTGTCTGCCAGCTTCTGTGTCAGCCTCACAGTGGATACTGTGCCCACTTGCCCAGTGCCACCACTCACTCACTGGTGTCACAATAGCTTGCATTTAAAAAAAATGTATTTCACTGTAATAGATTGAATAGCAGTTAGTTGTCTGCAAGCGTCTGTGTGTCAGGCTCGCAGCGTATACTGTGCCCACTTGCCCAGTGCCACCACTCACTCACTGGTGTCACAATAGCGTGCATTTAAAAACCAAAAAACTGTTTTCACTGTTATAGATTGAATAGCAGTTAGTTGTCCCCCCTTATCCTTATTTACTGACATATAACAATGTTTGGCATTTAGTGAATATTCACTATTCTGCTCTGTGTCAGTGTGTATCAGGGATCCTTAGGATAGGTGTCAATCCATATC